CATCCTCCAACAGTCAAGGAGTGAAGTGAATTAATGCTGGATGACGGCCCACACCCAAGTGGACAGAGAATGTCACAATGTCCTGGACATGGACGGGTTCTGCTGTGGCCCAATCACAGACCACCGTACACTGAACGTGTTCGGTTTGCTAATTAATATGTTGTTTAATTGTTTTTTACAAATTCTTATCATATGGATGATCAGATTGTTGTGCACTGTAAGGAACAGTCAGTTCACATGTTGTTATTTACACACACTCAGGGAAAGGTTTTAGTTTCAACGCAGCTCCAGCTTCAAATCCCATCATCAACTCCTAATATGTGTTTGTTGAGGTTTCAACCTCTGGTCAGCGGCCCCGGGCGTGGGTTCGTCGGCCAGTCTACGACTAACAAGCTAACTGATCGGCTCATTTCTGATCCTGTCCTTTTCTGGTCACTCCCAGAGGAAAAGATCAGCGTCTTTTTGGACAATTCTGGAGATATCAGACCAAAATGTTGGAGATGGGGCTAAGAGGAAAAGAGTTACTGATGTAGGGGAGATGGTTGGTGTAACAGTGGAGGAGGTGGTGGGGGGGGGCTGGCATGAAGACTACATCTGTTTATGTTACGGCCTTAGATATTACGTTTGTGAAGAACATTTGGAGTTCCGGTGAATTCCGTCCGTGGAACTGGACATGAGTTTTATCCTGATTTACATCTGCTGCCAACAGGTGGATTAGGGTTTGGTTTCCTGGGACTTAGTGTTTCGAAAAGTTTTGGTGAAAAAGCAGTTTCATTCACAGAATCCTCCAGACTGCGACTCCACCTCATTCTGATGTAAATCTAATGTAAAGGTCCCACCAGGAGCCCCCGAGCCTCCAGTTACACAACAATACGATGCTTGGAAGCTGCTCTCTCCGCCCGCGCGCTCATTCATATGTTAATTCAATATTCCTTCCAGATCAAATCGCTGTCAGGAGCAGAGCTGACAGCACTAAGCAGCGCTCTGCTCTCAAAGCTCAGCCCTGAGGGATATTTTATTAAAGATGGATGAAGGTGAGGAGATAAGAGAGAAACGAGGAAGGAGATGGAATGGAGAACAGGTTACTGATGTGTGTGACTGGAGGGCAGGAGGGTTTGGGAGGGGGGTGTAGGGTGAACTCTTTGTGAGGTAACATCTACACATAATGGAAGTAGGACAGAGAAGTCTTAATGAGCTAAAGACAAAGGCCGTCAGACAAAGACAGCTGCCTCGGAGGGTGTCGTACCCGATGATGTCCAGGGGTCACTGGACCAGTATGAGGTCATTGTATGCACAGCAGGTCTGAAGGTCATCTTCAAGGTCAGATTTGAACCAAACTGTCGTAACAGGTTTTGAACCAGCGCCATCGTACTTTTTAAATTTCTTTTCCCAAAACTGATGGTTCAGGTATATCATGGTTTACCGGCAACAATTGTTGGATAATTTAGTGTCCCGCAAAATGTGTTATTGTCTCGGCCTACGCTTCTGTGTGTGCATGACCAGTTAGGCTGGTCTATACCGTTGGATAGGAAATAAAAAAAAAAGGAAATAAAAAAAAAAGAATATTTAAACTGGTTTCCAAACATTTTCACGTCTATGCCGACGATGACATAATTTACACTAAACAATTTCATTTTTTTTTTCACATTAAAAGCTTAGCAGGAGTCACTGGGCGAAGGTGAGGTCACACCCTGAAAAGCCCGACAAAGGGTCACATTTAAAGACAATACAACCATTCACACTCGTATTCACACCTGTGGGCTCTTAGTGTGAATAAAGACAATACAACCATTCACACTCATATTCACACCTGTGGGCTCTTAGTGTGAACAACAACAGTGTTTTCTTCCAATACCTGGAGAAAACATGCAAACTCCGAACAGATGAATCACGGTTTGAACCCTTTGAACCTTGGATGTTTCTTGCTGTAAGGCAAGAGTGCTAACCACCGACCCACAGTGTGGCCCACCAGAGAAGTTAGGGGGTGAAACGGGATATTTCACTGCCGTGTTGCTGGGCCAAATCAGCAAAGTGTTTTGCTGCTTTATTTCTTTGAGTCACAGCAGTTTTGGTGGTTCTCACTGTTATACGCCTCTCTGAGTACAGAGTGTTTCTCCCAGGCTGTGAGGAAGTATTGACTGGTGATCACAGGACCGTGAGGAGCGAGCTGTAAAACTCATCAGCGACAGGATTAGCGAGCAGAAAATAGTGAAGGACAACTTGACCTGTTAGCCCAGCTGACAATGTTTATATGGCACACGTGCACATGCGAGTGTGCGTGTGTGTCTGTGTCCATATGCAGCAGCCTGAGCAGCAGCTACAACAGTCCACAACAGGCCCTTTGTCTGCTAACGCTGAACCAGTCCTCCCAGGGGAACGGACTAATTAACCAGACTCAGCCTCATTGACCCAGAGGCCCAGATATGACGCGCAGTCAAACAACAGAGGTGTGTATTTCTCTATGTTGGTGTGTACACACTATCTATCTTATCTAAATATATATACACATATACATACATATATACTCACACACATATATAAATACATGCACATATATGTGTATATGCATACATATATACATACATGCACATATATGTGTATATACATAGACACAAATATATATATACCTACACATATGTATATATTTATATATATTTGAGGGCCCTCATAAAAATCTATATGGGAAAAAGAAATCCTGCCAGCACTGAAGCCTCATCATGTCTGTGTTTACTACAGACCTGACAGTTGTCTTTTTTTCCTCACTTTTTTAACATAAGAATGTGGGAAAAGGCACGGAGGAGGAACAGAGCTCCAACCAGATGTTGAGAGGATTAAACCCCCGGAGAGTTAAAACGCTGACACAGCAAGTACTCTAAAGAAAAACTGACCAGGAAATTGATTCTTATGAGATAGGGAGCCCACTCCCATCTGCTGCTCATCTACTGGACGTATCTGGACGTCTCGGCTTACACTAAGACAAAACTTAGATCAACGCAGGGGGAAATAAATTACAGGTATTACGGTATATACGCTGAAGCTTGACAGAAACACATCACCAACAGAAAAGTCAGGCCATATATTGCCTAATAAAGGAGCACTGGCTTTTTTTGTTACTTCCTACCACTCTGCTGCGCACCACTACGTTTTTAACATATGTTATATTAAAGAAAAACAGCACCACGGACTGGAGCCAGCGCAAAATTGCAAGTCTCTATAACCCTAAAAAAAAGACTGCTGCTGATGTTATATTAAAGAAAAACAGCACCACGGACTGGAGCCAGCGCAAAATGCAAGTCTGTATAACCCTAAAACAAAAAACCTAATTTCTAAAAAAATTTGGATTTCTGGCGAAAGTCAGAATGCTTACCTATAAATGCAGCAATAAATAAATAAGTCATTCACATTATCCTAAATGGAAACAAAATCACCCAGGTACCACTAGTAACACATGTACCATAGTTTGAGCACCACTGCTCTAAATTTCTCAAAACTGTTGCACACAAAGTACACATTTAGCTGCACTACTGCCACCTATGGGAGGTAGTTTTCACTAGCTTTAAATAGAATGTCAGACTAATTCAGGTTTATCAAGTCACCTCCCAGTGGCTGAAGACCAGCTGTGGACTGGCCAGTCCACTCGTCCTTTTCCGGATCTCGTCCGCAAATCCGAAGCTCTCCGCGACGGGTAGAACGGCCTTAATGATGAACATCTGTGTTCCTTCCTTCATTTCTTCTTTCAGGACGTGGCCCTCGCGCTTTCCAAGGACACCGTACACCCGACCTTGGAGAGGAATGAACAGAGATGTTCGTTTACGTCATATTTTTACAAAGCAAAATAACGTGAACCAAACAACATCCAAAACATTTGGAATTTTCATTCCAACAGTTGGAAAGATAATGAGATCTCTGGCCGATCTGTCCCGCTCTGATGTCTTTGTCTGATGAACCGCTGGAGCTGAAGACTTTCCCATCTTCAATGTCATTTTCAGCCTCATTTTCCTTGTAATTAATTCCAGAGGAAACAGCCTCAGGACTGAGTGAGTGACTGAGCGCTGTGGACCAATCAGCTGTAAGAACTGCTCTTCTAATTAGCATTTAGTTTAGTTAACAGTCTGCACGTATGTGCATGTTGCCCACGTTCATGATCATAATCACAGCATAATCATGTCATATTGATAAGAGTCATTATCGGTTTTTCTGATAACACAACGCCTGGGTTTCGTCCAGACGGTGTGGCCTAAAAATGCTTTTGAAATGAATCTGAAAGTGAATTATTGTCATTGTGACACAGCACACCACTTCCCACAAAATTAAATGTTTGAACAATATCAGCATATCGAATATCGGACATCCCTAATATTGACCTACAATCTCTGTTTCCCTAACATGTTGTTGAGTTTTCAGCACTTTCACGGCAGGACGGTCCAGACGGTCAGATCAGCCATGTTTCTTACCTAGGACCTCAGCGGTGGCCATGATCTCACAGGTGTACATGGCCGCCATCAGTCTCTGTGGCTGAGCCTGGAAGGCCTGACGACAGGCTTCTTTGGTGGCTGCGATGAGTTGACCTGAGACAGGGCCGTAACAGTCCGCCAGCGCGGCCTCGGGCCTCCTTTTGGACTCATTCAGGCCTGATGTCGTGTCTTCTTTCGGACGAGACACCACGCCACTGTCCACCACTTCACCAGGAGATATGGAGCCGTCCCCTGCTACGTCCTGATTCTGAGCCGGGGCGGAGGACTGGACGTCCCATCTCTCGATGGAAAAACAAACCCCCATCAGGGGTTCCTCGCACATGGGCCCCGACAGAGTGGCCAGCTGGAAGCCACTGATGATGCTGGTGTCGAAGTCCCACAGGCCTGCAGACAGACCCCCGCTGTTGTCTCCACCACTGTCTTCTCCTCTGAGACACTGCCACAGAGAGGGACGCTGGTAGCCCTCAACGCTGTTCAGCAGAATGTTTGGTCCATACCTGGAGACACGGTCGGGTTTATGGTGAGTGACGTGGTACGAGGTCACGTGATTTACAGTGTGTAGAAAGACAGAGCAGTGAGCGGTTATCAAAAAATTTTTTTCTTTTCAAAAAAGAAAGAAAGACAGAGCAGTGAGCGGTTATCAAACAGTCAAACATTTAAGACCCATAAACATGGACGTAAAGGGTCAACAAGGGTCTTGAAAGTTCTTAAAGGGTCTTCAAGGGTCTTGAGTGGGAATTGAAGATTTCTTTTTGGTTTTTTAAATATAGACACAAAGGACCAAGGTTGGACAGACCTGCGTGGACCAAAAGCCCAGATATGTTCTACGGCGTTCCTCCACTTCCTCCCTTGCAGCATGCTCTCCATCTGGGCCTTGAGTTCAGCGATGCTCTCCAAGGTCCCAATGCTGACGTCCAGTTTTTTACCCTCTCTCAGGGACATGTTGACCTGCTCCAGGGTACGGATGAGTTCGGAGTTCTTCTCCAGAAAACTGGTCAAGTCTGTCAAGGACAACATCACTGAATGTAATGGATGGTGAAATAAAATCTGTCCTAACGTTAGGACAGATCAGGGAATATGGGTTGGTCCGATATACGACTGTACATTTGGAATAGTCCATTTAGTAGAGAACACAATAAGAGATGATTTGGGAGCAGACTAACAGATATTATAAATATGATCTCCTCATTGGACAAATTCAAAAACGTGCAAACTGGGCCCTCTGAGTCTGAATCTGCTGCAGACTTCATCTGCTCCATAACTAGCTCCTGTGCAAAATCTGTTCCAACACTGTTCGTCGGAACGGTGGAACAAGACTTTTTTAAACAAATTTAAGGGAGATGGCGATGTAACCACGAAGGCCGTAGGTCAAGGACCCCCAGTATTTCACCCTAACCTCAGAGAAAAGGACAATAAAACTTTTCAACTTTCTAAAGGCGATTGTAAACAACACAATAATGTCAACTGACTGAACACACAGGTGCAGTTCTTACCCTGGGGCAGGGGGGTCGCTCGGACACTCACAGTGGCCAGTCTGTTGGGGGTGGTGAGGGTCACCAGTCCAGTGGGGTCCACCTGGAGGTTGTCTGATGAACGACCCTGCGAGGCCTCGTCTTTCAGCTGTCACAGTCGGAAACATTAC